GGTTGTCATGAGTTTCAACATCAACAAGCGCAACTTTCTTCTGGCCAGTGTAATACTCTCATATTTCACAAGTCAGTCAGCTCAGTCAGCAAGATGGTTGGAGCAAAAATGGCCCGTGGCTTTTCTGGGGACCCCCTCTCAAGGCCCCCCTGGAATCATTTATTCAGCCACCCCCTATGAGCAAAATCCATCAACCATCAATTCAACAAAAAATGCCCATCAACATCAATCAATTCACCTCCGGCCTGGATCGCAGGGGCTTTGGTCCAGCATGATCCACTCAGCTGCCTGGTCCACTCAGGTTGTTACGGATGGTGAAATCCACAACAGGTTGCTTGGTTGGTGCTGGAATATACTATCCGAGGAAGGGAATAAATCCATATACTATATATAAAGGGGAAGATGTTAACATCCATCCCATATCCATCCCATATCCATCCCATATCCATCCGATCCGATGTTCAACCAAGACTTCTTCGGTGTGGGTTGGGTTCCGAAAAAACACTGTGTCCACGGCACATGTCCACAGAGCTGTCCACAGGGCTGTCCACATGTTCACCACCAATCTGTGAGAAGTCCCTTGGAACATGTATGGAACATAACCCAGACACTCCTGCCATGTATGGAATATTTGCCTACATTGACCCCTCAAACCACCCATATGTGGGTAAATATGCCATACATGGATCGAGTGTCTGGCTAATTCCTTAAAGAAATCCACCTGAGCAGCGGTCCTCGGAAATCTGCGAGATTTGAACCTTCTGCCGCACCAAGGGCCGGCGCAGGGACACGCATCCTGGCGGGGGCGAGATGCTGGATGATGCTTAGAGAGCTTTCACTTGAGAATGCCCTGCAGGTCAAAGACTATACAAAGTTGTATAAAGAATTGTCTTTATGGGATCTGAAAGGGAATTTCCTTTACTTCACTCAGGGAAAGTATAGTCTTTGGACGTCCAGGGAATGTATTTCTCGTTCGATGGATCATATAAAACAAGGGCAGCCATCAGCTCCACCGGTCATGAGAGCAAACCAGTCGTGAAAGCCGATGGAATTCGAAAACACGGAAATCTCCACTCTGGGAGCCAGGCTGTCCCTTTGAAGCACATAGCTATCTCAGACACTTCCATACAAAAATGGTTGCAAACGTTCACCAACCTGCAATACCAAAAGAGCATGAATTCATGGCCATGGCTTCGTATATGACATGCCCCCCATGCCACGTCACTTTCGATGCAGACAACGACTGATACTGCCACCTTCCGACCGGCTCCGGTTCTCGTGAAGATCACCAGACCAAAAAAGACAAAAACCCCAGCGGTGCCATGACAAGCCGGCAAGCCTCCGGATTTCCCCGTCTGGAAACCCGTGTGAGGATGGAAAAAGAACTCCCCAAAAAAAACATCAAAGAACAGGTATATGTGTTCCTTCAATTTCCTTCCACACCACAAGGTTCCTTCACTTTGTTGTCATCCAACACCCCACGAACATCCTTGGACGCAGTTCTGCATGGGGAAGAAGCAGAAGTGCATGAACTTGCTGAAGCCCTCAGGGCTCCAGTTTGCGCAGCACCTCCGTGGGACACGAGACTAACCACACCCCTCGTTTGAACAGATGTTTAAGGCAGGGAAGGGACTCAGGGACATTCAAGAAGTTCGAAAGGAGTGCATCAGATCCAAGTCTAGGTGGGGAAGAAACCCGGTTCCCAAGAAGTCCCTGTCGGAAGTGAAAAAAGAGAAGACCCTGTTCGTCAAGGAAAGCAGTCTGCCAAGAGGCAATTGTCCACTTCCATGTTTTCTGTGTTCGTGAGAGTGCCATGAAAAGAAACTTGTTCCAAGAAACATCGGGTCCGACAACTGGGTGGTTTAGGGTTTAGGGTGTGGCCGGACGAAGAAGTTTGCCTATGTGGAAGTTCGCCATCAGATGGGTCGCCATAGGCGAACTAGGTGGGTTTTCCCATGGGTTTTTGGTTCGTAGGCCAAGGGCCGATGGGTCGGCCCGACCGCCGGTCGGCGCAGTCGGGGACTACCCCCATGTCCCAGCCGGTGATTCCTCCGTCGGTCGTCACGGAAGAATGGATGCGACCAGATCTCCGACAGAGTGACCATGGTATACCTGTGATGTTTCACCTACTTCGCCGCTTCATTCGAGTTTTTGTTGCCATCAGTATGCCCCAGAAGTCGAAGCACCCAGTTTTTTAAATGGCCCAATAATGCCCAATACTATTACCAAACAACCATGTGTTTTATACTAAGGAGTTTACACTACAAGAAGCAGATCAATCAACCATTGTAATCATGTTTAAAGATGGTCCAACGGACTTCCAGGGAGTATGCGTTTCACACAGAAAGGGTGTCCCTCCGCGCATTCCGGATCATGAAAAAGGGGAGTTACTCGGGCAGAAAAGAACTCTCTGCTCAGAACGCGCGAACCACTCCAAACCCCAAACTGCCTGAGGCTTCCCAGAAAGCATCCCAGTATAGCCCGTGGCGGAAAGGAGACTTCCATGGCGCAAGTTGAACGAACCCCGTTGGGCGCGATTCGGGCGTGACGCGCGGAGGGGTGTGCTGGAGATGTCTAGAGGAGAAACCAGGTGCTGCATCTCGTGCTGTGTCCGCTGCGTCACTGCAATGTTCATACATCATCAAAGTACACCAATTAGTAAGCTCAGGCAGGGTGCCCAAAGAGCTGATGAAAAAAGAACATCTACAAGGCTCACCATTGATCCATCAATCGGTTTCATGTGTGTGTGTGTGTGTCTGACCCATGGGATGGGATCCGCCCATGGGATTGTTTCCATGGGATCGGTCGAGATGGACATGCACGAAATGGAAGGTGCTGGAGTGGAGTGATGTAGACTGGAATAAAAACACAAAAAGCAGCATGCCCAGTCACCGTGTTGCACCAGCTCCCTGGTGTGGTGGGGGTTGAGTGCTTTTGAGGTTCTCTTCTTAGAACCGCCAGGAGTCAGGCTTGGCTGTTGCCGCATGGCGGAAGAAGCAAAACTGCAGTCGCTGGCAGCAGCTCCCCCATACATATCCAGGAATCCGGGAGAAAAAGGCATAACATCTTCCTCAGGGGCCTGGGGATTGTTCGTGAAAAAAAGACTAGTAACAAAGGGCATCGCTACTAGGAGCAAGGACGCTACTAGTCTCCCCCCCGCCCGCTGGTCTCCGGTCCTCACTACCCTAAACCCTAAACCCTGCAACCGATTCGCACGCCGCCGAGTCGTTCGAACACCCGAACGCCCCCGAAAAGGTTCCGCAGCGGCCGAACTGGAAGGGTTTTTCTTTTTTTATACTTGTTACTAGTAGCGAACAGTGTTACTACTAGTAAGGCACTTGTTACTAGTAGCTATATAGTGGTTAGATAGAAACGGAGTCCTGTCTACATTCTCTACCTGGGGATCTACGAACTTCTTATGCAAGGGCTGTAAGAGTGTCTATACCAGCACCCGACTCTATAACAGGTCTCCTAGTTTCAGGGTTGGGAAGGGCCTAACCATTGGCGACCGTAACTTCGAGTCGGGTGCCCGGAACCGCAGACTCGACAGGACATCGAAGAATTACACCCCAAATCAGGATGGGTTTGAACGACATGTTACACCCTGATCTTCTTCCCTCCGTCCCAAGTCTTCGAGCCCTTCCGTTCCCCCCAATCCTCATCCGATGCGAGCCCACACACTCAACAGGCTCCCCAGCCACCACAGGCTGAAACGCTGGCAGCCAGCCCTGGTAGGGGTCAAGACCCCAACTGGCAAAGAAGGCTCAGAAGAAGCCGACTGGCTAGGACGACTAGATCACATGGAAAGTCTTCGAAAAGCTTTGGAGATTGGATGAGATTGTTATTTCTGATCGTTTTGTTGTGGTTTTAGTGACCTGACCCGCTTTCGACACTCCTTCCTGAGCAAAAGATCCATAAACTAGCTGTACTCGACAGTGAGGGCAGCATCCACATGAACGAACCCGTGTCCGTACAAGCTCGCGCATCAAGAAAACTCTTGTTTTGAGTGAGTCATAAGAGTCATACTGATAAGAGGTGTTCTTCGATGTATATCATCAAGAGTCATACTCTTGACCATGGCGTCTTCCATATCAAGTCATTCGCCTCTTGGCCAATCGCCGTCGCGTCGCGTCGTGCCGTCCTCCAGTTGCAAGCTTCGATAGTACTCGACGGTGGCGCTATCACTGAAGTGCACGGACAAGCCGCATTCCCCTCCGCGGCAGACGAGCGGAGAAGATGTCACTGGTGGTCTTGACACAATCTGATCCGAGGAGCCAGGGGACGTTGAAAGAGAAGGCTGCCCGACTTCCTATAAAAGCTGGTTTTAATTGGGAGGCGGTAGGAAGACCCCGTCAATCTCTTTCAACTAAATGGGTGTGTCCTTCCCTAAGTAGGAAGACCTCGTGGCCCAAGGGGTCTCTATCAGGGACCGTTTGACAACGTGCCAATCCACTTGACCGATATGATCTGATGTGGCCTGAGCATCGTGCGTGCAACTGGCAGACATGCAAAGAGCATCATGTGGCGTCCCGGTCACCCAAAAGTGCCATTGAGTAAAGTGCCGATCTATCACAAGAGCAAAGGCAAGAAACCGCTAGCGAAGGCTAGTGGCTAGTGTGATGCACGACCATGTTTCGCACCAGGCAGCAAACGGAGCGATGGAGTCATCATTTGTGACGCTGATCAGCAAAGGTCAGCGAAGGTCAGCATGCCTTGCTTTGTCATGGACTCTGCCGCACTAAGTACTCACTATTGCCGTGATGTTGCGGTACAATTTGTTTGTTCCATCGATGCGCGTTGCAAGGTCGAAGCCATACCGGTATGCATACCTACCACCCCCTACCCACCCCCTAACACCCACTTCGGCGCCTGCAAGGTGGGAGGCGGCCGCCTCCGCCGCGGTGCTTTCCTGAAACTCCACGAAGCAGCTGGCCTCCCGCGCTCGGGCTCCGCATCCGACTCCCCGACTCCGGTGCAATCACCGGGGACGGCGGTTTCGGAAGGCGGTTTGGTTCGGTGGGTTTGACCAGGGTGCGATGAAGGTGCAACCAGCAGGTGTTTCTTCCGATGCAAAACGTCTGAACTTGGCTGATTTTAGAGATGAAAAGGCAAACATGTTGCGTCGTTGGAGGATCTAGGTATAGAATGATCGAGGCTTGGACTTAACAGTCGTCGTTCGTCTAGGGAGATCAGAAGGGGAATTCGGAACATTTGGTAGTGAGATGTCGGGAGGTACTGTGGGAGATCATCACTTGGGAATATGCTTGAGGATGAGCGAGTCCTGATCTATCCCTGTCTGACTGTTGACCCACCATGTCTTTCAGTGCTTGGCTTTGAGACAGGCCCTGTACTGTCAATAACAGGATGTTCGCAAAAACCATCTCAACCAACAGGTCAAAGCACCTTAGAACTCGAAAACCCAGTCCAAACCAGAAGCAGTTCTGGATGGAACTCCCAGTCTCAGCCACTTCCGATGCAAGGGGTCTCAAGCAAACCTTACTATAGTTGGTATATCACATAAATTATACTGGCCCTGTGGTTCTTTCTGTTGGGCGGTTTCAAGGTCTCAAGCAAACCAGGAGTCCCCAATAGACGGCCGCCGTCTGTCCTCTTCGGTCGCGCTGGCGGTGGTCCCAACGATTCCGACTCCGTCCGCATGGAGTCGGCAGTGTGTCTGGAAGTTCCTCCCAAGATCTAAAGATGGCTCCATCTGGTGAAGGTGCGTCCAAACACCTTGATATATATATATATATATATATCCTGGAAGTCCAGTTCGACCATTGTTAAAACGGTCTGACGAACGGTGATCTGAGTGAAAAGGAACTTTTTGGAGTTGGGTGGTGCCGAAACTAGTCTTTGGACTTCTAGGGTATACGTATACATCAGGAATCATTAGTTAATATTAGTTATAGAGTAAGGTGGTTGGCATGGGTGGTGCAAGGATCTGATCCTCCTCGTTCATTCCGTGAATCGTCCTCTTTGACCATCGGATTTTGGAGTCGAAACAACGGAGGCTCCGGAGCACTCCATCCGGCGCCGGACGGTGCGCCGGGAACGCGTTCCCGCCTCCACGAAGACATGGCGAAGCACTGCCTGGGTCGGACTCGAAGACTTGAATAGAGGGACCTCTAAAAGTGAAGAGCTTGTTGGTGTGTCCTTTTTTTGAATGTTTGCCCGCCACTTGATTCAGGCTATAGCTAGCTAGGACGCAGGATAGCTAGGACGCTTGGACTGATGTGGACACATCACTTGGACTGGATGCCAACCGGTGCAGAACAGGGTCGAGCTTCGGTCGGGTGGATGGGTCGGTCCTGCGTTCCTGTCGGTCCTGCTCCCTGTTGCATCGGTGGTCGTCCGTGGACCTGTCGGTCGGTCCAGACCCGGTGTGCTGCCATCGAACCTCTGAAACCACTGCCAACCGTGATGGTTGCCATGCATTTTCGGAAGTCTGGTTAAGGTAATCCCTTTGAAGTGATGTCCAAAGAGATCAGTCCGGAAGTGAGCCGCTCGAAGATTTCCCAATTCGAGGAAACTACCAGCAGTTCCAAATGTTCCTCTTTGACGGCCTGATGTGTGTGTGTGTGTCACACCCTGGTTCTAAGGGTTTCCACCTGTTTACCTTTCCACCACCACCGAGACTTTCCATCAACGGCAGGGGCGTCAGGCTCGATACACCTACCTGACGCAACGAAGCTCTGGTGTATCGAGGGATGGGTGGACTGATCATCCACCTGTACCTGCTTCAACGGTTGAGCAAGCTGTTCCAATCCTCCTTTTTTGATTCCATGGTAGTTCATGATACTTCCCACAAACCCTTCCACTTTCTCACGCAGCTGCATTGTACAGAGGCTCGCCACCGCACACCTGTCAAAACTTTGTTCAACCATACGGTTTTTGCGGACTTATGCGCCTTTCCGTTCCCTCACCTTCCTTCCCATCGTGACAACTGAGTATAACTGAAAACCCAAGTTCGAAGTGTGGATCGCTCAGTCTTCCCACGTGGGTGCTGGGTGTGACCCTCCGAA